CTACCATGGTGGCCATAGGGGGAGGTGTCCTAGCACCTATAAGCAGCAGCACCAGGTCAGGGATAGGCCCTGCGGACTTGGAGCCAGTGGGAGGAGTACGTAACTGGCCTCACCACTTGGCGGCCGCAGGGGAGGCGTCCTGACCGGGTCCACAGAACACCAAGGCAAAGAGCTAGGGATAGGTCCTGCAGGCTGAGTGAGAGGAGTACGTAACTGGCCTCACCACTCGGCGCCCGCAGGGGAGGCGTCCTAGCAAGCCATCGTTAGAGTGTAACCAAGGGGCCGATGTAAGGCTCCTCGGACTGGAACGAGTGGGAGTGTCAAACAATAGACCGCTCCAGACCGAGGATGCGTCCGGACCCACATGGACATCTCTGTTGTGTATATAAGAACTGGGACCTTCGTCCTCTTGACTTGGGCAGTGGTTAAGGCCAATACAACCAATAAATCTCACATTTTGACATGGTGGACAACGAAGTTGATCGCTTGTATTGACAGCAGCAGCCTTATGTAGGCAGACCATTGAATTTAAAGGCCCGGGACTCCAGGCCAGCTCCCCATTGACCTGATGCGAGACGTCGCCGATATCATTGTCCGGAATCCACGTGCTGTGCTACCCCATACCCCGGATTTTGTGCGGAGAAGTAAATTAAGGGTTGCATTGGCCAATGTCTAACCCGCGTCGTATGCTTCCGATATCGTGGCGCAGGGGTAAACCAGTGGATGCGTGATTAGTCAGGCTTAAGGTGCGCCTGGAGGAATGGTCGGCCCGATGCGGCCCGCCTCCCTGTGCTTCTCTGTGTCACAGCGGCGTTGTTAGGACCTCCCTCGTTGATCCAAGTCGCACTGCAGCCCCTTATCGTGTGACTGCTCTACATAATGAAACTGCACCAATCGTTTTGGAGGTAATTATTAGCAAACGTAGCGTACACAATATTGTCTGAGCTGAGAGATAAGACGAGCTTTACCTCGCTGGTCATACGCGGTTTAAGGACGGGTCAAACGACGGCGGAAGAGAGCCGACGATGGTGGAGGTGCGGTGCGGCAAACCCTGAGCGAATCGGTATGGATAGAAGATCAGACAGCATCCCATGGTCTTCACTTGAAGAATTATGTGTCGATATTGAGATCAAGGATTTCAAGACATAATACACAATCTTGATGCGCTGGTGCATGCATAAGGCAACTTAGTGTACTAATGTTTGGCGTGGAAAGCGCAGGAACAGGACAGTCAGTGAAGTAAATGCAGCAGTACTCGTACTGTCTGCGTCGATGCATTGAGGTCCGTTTATTTGCTACCGCTTTCTTTCTACGCGGTGGGCTAACTCCGCAAGTTCCATTCCAAAACCCCACAGCTCCTGTCAACCAATTTTGATCGACCCTCTGCACCCATTTATATTGCATTGTAACCTGCGAAGTTACCCTTGCTACCGTGTTGGGAATGAACTAGCGGTTCTGTCAAGCCCGTTGCCCTAGCACATACGGGCTTCTGTCTTTTCAGATTTTGGGTCTCCTTCACAAAAGACATATATACAATCAGCCTGAACGTGACTCTTTCATTCAAGCACCAGGATGCCTACAGGTTCTCGCCAGCCATCGCCGTGCAATCGACCTCTACCTAAAGCATTTATTAGCGAATGAATTGTCTCAATCTGGCCGACGTTGCACTAACCTTGGCATTTAGCCCTAGTTCTGTGACGGTAACACAGATTCTCGCAGGTTTCGGATCGGGGATCATATCAACGTCTAACTCTTTAGTTGGGCTTAGTGGAAAGCGCTACAGGCAGCATCCTTACAGACAGCGTTCATGGCCGCAAAGTCGGCCCTGTTGGTCAAGAAAATGTTGACCTAGACGACGAGTCATCATCAACGAACAATATTGTTACGTATCTAATAGTAAATTAATACCTTGAGAAGCTTGGTGAAGTCACTTCCAGCCTTGTGTAGCGCAGACTGGAGAAGATTGAGTGCTGCTCTCTGTGAATCATTAGCTAGGAACGGAGCTATTGTCACTTCTTTTACTTACAGTCTGTTCACCAACATCATCTGACACTAGAGTGCGTGTCTTCTCGTCCATACCAACCTTTCCAGAACAGTATATCACCCCATTGTGGATAGTAGCCTCATTGAGATACGCAGACGTGTAGTTATGTCTGTTGACGATTTGACGGTCGGCCATGGTTGCGTTGTTTGATAGTCTTCAGCCTCGGAAAACATAGTTTGGAAAGACTAAAGTATTTCACTTCTGGGCAGGGAAAGGATATTAATAAGCTGTTGAGCGTGTCAAGTTCAGCTACAGGTATCCCGACAGTCCGTGACCGCTGTCCTTGCTGGCCCACCCGACGGATGGGAGGCCTCGGGCAATACCGGCTTATCGAACCACGGACTGGAAGTGATATGGTAACACTAAACGGCAACATGCGCCTTCTCGGGATTATCCGTCGCCGCCAGGTTCGATAAAAAATAGCGCAATCCCACGAGTGCGCTGTAGAGACTGAGTACATCAGCCAATACCCTTACCGTACGGATTACCCCGAGAGCGGGCCAGGGTGGGTGGTTGACTAACCCCAATTGAGTTGCATGCAATGGAATGATTGTGGTGACGATAGTCAGCGTTTTGTTGCCTTGCCCCGTTGCACATGGTCACCTTTCTGCTGGCTGCAGGCACAAGTATCTACAACCGAGCCTTGCAGTCACTTTTTTCCCTTCGCATCAAGGCACAGTACTATTTCATGGGTAATGAACTGCTGTGTTGGAGAATCCTAAGATACTCTACCTTCCTCCCCAAGAGGAAAATGCTCCGGTGTCGGGAACTCATCAATGAGCTCACTTAAGAGCCAGTCCGCACCAATAGACAACCCCGTATCCGAGATTCCCGCCATCCACAGTGGCAAGTCCTCGGGATACATATCTTGCCCCTGCACTAGCGCCACAGGGGCCACAGAATTGCCCTGCTGTGAGTCGGCCATCATGGTCATCGTGCGGCTAGCGAGCACCTCAAAGATATCACGATATGGCGCAGCATCTGCCCAGCGTTCTGCCAAGATCACCAGGAACATAGTACAGTCCATGCAGGTCCGACTCACATGGTCATGCCGGGAGGCTTCGCGTGCGGCTGGCGATGTCCACAGACAGTATATATACGTCAGACCTGCCAGAAACATCTCGTGTAGTGCGCTCCATGTATATGTCGTCGGCTTGCCAAAGTACTGACGGTGGAAGCCGTGGCAGATGTTCTTGGCTGCGTTCAGACATGTCAGAAACATTTCGTCCGAGGCTGGGTTTCTGCCATCGGCGATCTGGATCCGGTAAATCTGCAAGATCGCATAGTTATAGCTGACCTCGTTCCAGTCGGTGGTCGTGAAAAATGACAGTATTCCATCAGGAGGAGGCTTCATTGGTGGAGGGGTCGAAGCCCGCCACTTCTCGAGCTCAATAAGCAATTGCTGGCCGCGGTCTTGACGAATCTGTGGGTCATGAAGAGTGCAATCCGAATAGAGAGCACTTTGAATGCTTCCAAACAAGCTACGGATTCGGAAACCGTGAATGGCATGGGTCATGAGCGTGGGTGGCTCAGTTGGCAAGGAGCGTGGAGGTCCACATGTCCCGTCCGGGGTCAGAAAAGATTCCTCGATATCCAAAGGAAACTGAGCTACACTTAGTCATAGATTCGGGGTTGCCATACATATTGAAACTCACCTCCACATCTATCTCTTGCAAGTGAAGACTCAGTGGTCGTCCCAGGAAAACCGCAGCTGTGCATTCTAGGACATATGCACTCCAGAAAGATCGCTTCTGCATTTCCTGTTGGAACTGGTTTGCCGTCGACTTCAGTCGTCTTTGACTGCGGTGGTATCCGAGATTGATGCATTGACGCAGTGCCAGCCCACCCAACTTCCTTTGCAGTGTCAGGAACAATACTACTGAGAATTAAGGGTTGGGGCTTACCAATGGGATATGCCTTTAAAGGATCTTAATGAGTAAGTACCGCAGCATAATATGGCCTGTATGCATTCCAGGTTATCGCGGCAAAGGAGGTCGTCGATATAAAGCATGGCCGATGCGTAGAGTTGCTCGGCAGAGTATCCCATATGTGGTAACAAAAGGGCTCCAACTGCATATACCTTGGACATGGTTAATTCATCTCTGAAATAGAACTTCTGCACATACCATATTGAGAAAGTAAAGTGGCACAGCGTCGTAACTGAGGTCGTGAATCATACTCTGGGGGTCCTTCAGCGCACCCTCCCATTTCCGAAACGTTGCTTCATGCAGGAATGGGTACTGAGTGTGGATATTCTGGAAATATGCGTTGCTCAGCTTGACGGCCGAGTGAAAGTCCGGCAGGGCACATGGCTCTGGGGCCACAACACCATGTCCATCAGTTCCCGGCTTGGCAACATTGGAATGGAATGACGATAGCGCTGACTGAAGCGATGGTTTCATAAAGCGCGAAAACGCAAAGGTTGACGAAGGCCCCAGATAGCTCGGTTCAGAACCAGCCGCGTTGAGGCTGAGCGTCCCAATCATTGACGAGAGATCATCGTCCTCGGCAATGGTCGAACTGCCTTGGTCCGAGGCAGCATTCAGCTGGCAGCTGGGCGAGAGTTCCGCGTCGCATGTTGCGTTTGTGTTTGTTGCTCGTAGCTGGTCTTCCAGAAAGACTACGCGCTGTTCGAGTGTCTCGAGATAGTTTCGGGGCTGTTGTCGTTTTGTTGTTGGGTCTTCAATGACGCAGACTGGCTCTCACTGTTACAAATCCGCTTGCCTGTAGACACAGCGTTCATGGCCCTTACCAAGCTTCTGCCGTTGACAACTACCGCATGCTGGTGCCTGACCATCACACTGCTCGGGGACGTCAACATCATCAACCTTTCAACGAAGAGTAGAGGTGCCGCCGAACCCTGACTTTGCGGTCTTTGCAGTGTATGCAAGCTACAAGTGTCCTTGGCCCAGTTCGTTGGCGTGTGCTAGCACCCTTGGCTGGTCGGCTTCTGAATGGTTGAGGCATGCGGGAGGATCTAGTCTCATGATGAGCCTGCTTCGAGATGGCCAGATGCAGTTGCGGAGGATGGGATCGATGCTCGACGAACGGCGTGGCATTCCAACATGACCCTCCCCCGCCCTGGGGTCCACCCAGAGCGCGGCCCACCGAGCCGGAGTCGGTGACCTCAATTCGGAGGTATACGAGGCCTCGTTTCAATTGGCCCGCTTGCCTTGACTGGTGGTGTGGATCTCCGACCACACTGCTTTGACGTCCGTCTCCTTCGCGGCCGTTTGCCCCTCTGATGGAACATGAATCCCCAACTCTATATATTTAAACGAATCTTGAGCTTCTCACCCTCAAGGTGACATTCTTCAGATTACTGGCATTCAGAAAACCGACTGATATACAGGCCACGTTGTCTCAAATACTTGCCAACATGCCATCGCATATCACAGACAAGACCGCGTCAATCGTGATTGTGGGCGCGGGTGTTTTCGGCTTGAGCACAGCGCTTCATCTCGCCGAACGGGGCTATAGAAATGTCAAATTGCTTGACAAGCAAGCGTACGACTTGTCTCACTACTCGTACGAAAAAGGCTGCGATGCTGCCTCAGCAGGTATGTTTGCCGAAGCTGGCGTCTAGGCACCCACTTACGCGACTCCTTAGACATCAATAAGATCATTCGTTCTGCCTATGGTGCTCAGTTCCAGTACCAAGAGCTTGCACGTGACGCCATGACGAAATGGAAGAAATGGAACGATGAGGTCAAAACGGGCAAGACGGTACCTGCAGGGTTTTCTGCAGATGATGCCTTGTTCATTAACAATGGCTGTCTCACAATGACTTCTGGATCCGAGATGGATCAGTTTGAAAGAGAGACGATCCAAAACATGGAAAGAGTGGGCCTGAGAGATACACAACTGAATCTCAATGACCCTTCAGACGTTGCGCGAGCAAGGGACAGTGGATTTGGATTCGTGGTAGATGCCTTCAACATCAAGAATAAGAGTGCTCTTCTTGATACGAGGTCTGGTTTCGTCTATGCCGACAAAGCTTGCCACTTCGCCCTTCACAAAGTCCAGAAGCTGGGCGTGGAACTTGTCCTAGGAGGGTCAAAGGGAACATTCGCAGGTTTGCTTCAAGATGCGGGCTCGACCACTAAGGGTGTCCTCACGGCGGACGGAAAAGCTCACAAGGCTGAACTGACAATCATGGCATGTGGTGGTTGGACCCCATCGCTGTTGACGCAGCTTGACCACCTCTGCGAAACCACCTCCGGAAGCGTTACCATGTTCAAGCTGCCACCTAATAACAAGGCATTATGGGATCGATTTGCGCCAGAAAACTTCCCAACGTGGTCGTGAGTCAAGCTACTCTGAGCCTCATCAAGTGACAATCTGACACACTATGCCACAGGCACGATATTCGCCGCGGAAAATATGGCGGCCTCTACGGCTTCGCTCGCGATCCAAGTGGCGTCGTCAAAATTGGATACCGCGGAACTAAATTTACGAACCCCCAGACCCAGGCAGACGGCGCTACACGAAGCGTCCCGGCAACACGCTGGACGCGAGAGGCCATCCGCCAAATCCCACTCACAGCGGCCCGCGTCATCAATGCCTTTGTTCAGGAACAGCTGCCCGAGCTGCTAGAGTGCGAGATGACCACCCGGCTCTGCTGGTACACAGACTCGTACGATAACCATTTTGTCATTGACTTTGTGCCCGATACCTCTGGCCTCATGGTCGCTACCGGGGGCAGCGGGCACGGGTTCAAGTTTCTCCCCAATCTGGGTGAGCATGTGGTGGATAAGATTGAGGGCAGGAAGAATGACTACCTCCAACACTGGAGGTGGAGGAGTCTGAGTCCAGAGGAGATGGCCTATAACAGCATCATGGAGGGCACTGGCAGTGAGCGCTCACTGCACAATCAGCCTCTGACTGCTGGAGAGTGCTTGAGTGGTCGACTGAGCCGCTTGTAATCATGTGGCGAATAGAAAACAGTAGCACTATAGATAGCTCTCGTACCGTTCCCTTCTATTAGATTACATTACTTAAATATATAGGCAGGTTATATAGCGGTTTAATCCTTGCTCCTCCCAGCCCCTTACTTTTCTTAGACTATTTATACGAGAGCGTTAATATATAAGCATTTATTGCCTTTTAAATTATATTACCGTCCTTCTTAAAAAATAAGTGATATATATATTTATATACCGCTAATTATATATACTACAGACCCTACGAAATAGATAACGTTATAATAGTTATTATTATTAAAAAACTCCCTTATATATTAGAACTGCTCTAGTTCTAACGCGTATAAGTTTAGTATATAAAGGAGATAGAAAGATAAGAGATATCTCAGAACCAGTCGACAGTAACTAAGCATTACTTTACGTTCTAGATAACCGCATGCATAATGCGCTTAGGCAGAGAAGCCCATGTCTTTTCCTCCTCAAGCTCCTCCTCGTCCAGCAAAACGATTCCGGTTTGAAGATCCATGTCGGTAGCCCTAACATAAAATTTCCAGTCACGAGAGTAAAACTTCCAACCAAGGTACAGGACGAGAATAACAGGGCCGGCGAGGAAGGACATGAAGAAGGCTTCAGCTGTTGGTTCGGAGCCATCAGGAGCCTCAAACTCACTGTTAGTAAAGTGTAAAATCAATTCATATGTCAAACTTACAAAAAGGGCGGAGTAGAAAGTGGCGATAAGGGCAAGAACGTTCAGACCAAGGCCGATGTAACTGCCTATAACGCCAAACGGAGACTTGTACGGAACAAGACGCAAATTAATGCCCTGGGCCTTGAAACCAGCACGCATACGGGCGTGGGCCAGGCAAATGCTGCCCCACACGAAAAGGAATGCAAGACCAGAAAGGGCGAGAAGCCAGTCAAAGATTTGACCTCCTTTTGGAGACTCGCCGACATAGGCTAAGAGACCAAAAGCAAGTTGGATCACCACGCACCAGAGAGGGCGGCCTTTGTTGTCAATATAGTTCAGGAATTTTGGGGCATGGCCGCGAATCGCCATAGCCTGCATCGTCCGAGTTGATCCGAAAGTGCACGAGTTGGCAACAGACAAGACGGAGATGGTGATGACTGCGTTAAAGATAGACGGAAGGACGTTGATGCTGGCATCCTGAATAGCCAATACAAAAGGCGAAGCCTTTGTATTAGCACCAGAGGCGCCTAGAAGACGCTCATCATCGCTTCGGAGAATAATACCGACGATAAAGAGGTTGATCACGTAAAAAAGAGCGATACGCCAGAAGACTTGCTTGGAAGCAGTGGGAATAGACTTCCGGGGGTTAGCAGACTCTGCAGCAGCGAGACCGACCATCTCAGTACCGCCGAAGGCGAAAGCTATTTGTAAAATTAGCCAGAGAGAAAAACTAGCAAACAGGATGGAAAAACTCGCCCGCAACGACAAAGACGGCGCAGAACCCTTTGAAATTAGTAAAGGCACCAGGGTCGTACCAGTACTTTGTGCCAAGGTAGCCCTGATCGCCGACTCCACCGCAGTTGATGACAATGCCGAGGATGATGAAACCGAGGCAAGCGCAGATCTTGATAAAGGAAAGAACAAACTCGACTACGACTGATTAGTGTCAGGTTCACGGGAGGCTGAACAGCAACCCTCACCTTCGCCATAGCCACGGACGCCAAAGATTTGCACAATGGTGAGGGCGACAAGGAAGACAGTGACCCACACGGCCTGTTAATTATGTGTTAGATCTCAGGTCTTGAAGCCGGGGTAGTGAAGGGGCTAAGTTTCAAGCCAACGGCAGAGGCCAAGGCGGATGCTGGGAGAGACGAACCATGTGGATGTCGGTGCGCCAAAACTCAATCGTTTTTGACGCCGCGATCAGCTCAAACGGAAGGACGGTGAGCCAGGATAGTGCGTACTCCCAACCGCAGGCGAAGCCCCAAGATTGGTCAACAAAGCGGACAATGTAAGTGTAGAAGGCACCGTTGACAGGATACAGGACGGCCATTTCCGCCAGTGCCATATTGGTGATCAGCAACATGATGCCGATAATGAGATCTATGGAATATATTCGTCAATTATTGAGGTTAAATCGAGCGTCGTAGTAAGGGTTCTTACAGCCTGTACTGGTCAGCGTTATATTTTCTTGAATTCCGAATCCTCAAATTGCTCACCAATGACCAGAGACGCAGGACCGCCTTTGTGGAGAGCACCACCAGAACCGACAAAGAGACCAGCACCGATTGCACCGCCGATAGCAATCATCTGCATGTGCCGAGTGCGAAGGTCACGCTTGAGATGACCCTCCGGATGGGTGGTGCCTTCTTCCACATCGTGAGACTGAGGCTTAACCGTTTCCTGGGTCTCGAGACCCTTCGTGGGAGACTGTGAAGACATAGTAGATGAGCTTTTGCTAGCCAGAGGGTGTCCAATTCAACGCAGGGGGAGGGGAGAGACTGCCAAGAAAGGTCCCTCGATGGTCTTCCAGAAAAAAGGAAGACGCAGCATGGAAGACATACGCGTTGTCTTTATTCGACGTAGGATTTAAGCACATAACCGCGCTAGACAAGCTTTCAGACAAGCTTCCTCGGCGCTAACGGTATCTGGCCCAGTGTGGCTCCGATTCAATGAGGATAAATAGTGCATCCCGGCTAAGGTGGAGGCTGGTCTCGACTCCTCTAGTTGTCGGGATTGTGTTGACTTGATATCCCTTTGCAAGTACAAAGGTCACCCTTAGGTATCCTGCAAGGATTCTAACCCGTCTGAGCCGCTTTCTAGTTGCGGTACTCAAATCACTGCGATAGTCAAGCCCAACCCATAAGTCTCCTAGAATACGTAGCGTTACCTCGAGATCCTCGAAAAATCGCCACCGCTGGCGCACTGTTTCTTGTCTTAGGAGGCAGCGCGGAGTACGTGTCAGTGGACGCAGAACCTAGTGGTTGCCTCCACACTTTCAAAGGGATGGGAATCCTTGTCGGAAAGTACGTACGTCCTCGTAAAATGTGAGAGTGTGTGAAAAGGCCAGAACCAGAACCACCAGGTCCGCAACCTGGCCAACTTGATTAGGAAGGTGCTTGGTGGACGTTGATAAGCTGTTTGCCGGATTTCCCGAGTCACGACCCAGGACTGATTGTCACAACGCGCCTCGTTTTGGCCTTCCGACCAATCATTACCATTGCGTTACTGACGCCTTTTGCAGCCACCGGACACGCCGTCACTCGCCAGTTCCTCGAAGATGGCGCGCAGGCTGTCGAAAGAGCACGGCCCCACTGTGGTACTGAGCCAGGGCTAGGCCCGAGAGCCGAGTGGAGTGGAGATTGGCCCCCGCTCCCGTTGGGGCGTGACCTATATCGAGTCATGAGATGGGAGCCTGGGCCGGCGCAAGCAGCGTTTCAGGGAGACAATCACCAGACTAGCTGAGGGATAGTAGCAGGGATCCTATGTCCGCTGTTTATAAATCTGGGCAGGGACTCTAGGTTATTCTATTAAGCTATTACCGTTAGGGAGGTAATAGTCTCCTTTTTTAATTACTAAATCGCACTCTATAATATATATATAAATAATTATATATTATTAATAGACTCTCTTAAATATATAGCTTTAATACTTATAGATTATTTAAAAGGCTTATATTTATTTATAGCTATTTATATAAATAAAGTAAAACTCTTAAGAAGTAGCTAGCTATTTTATTAAAAGAAGAAAAGTATTAAATAATAAAATAAGATCTAATTATATAATATATTTTAGTCTTTATAATAAAGCTAGCTTTAATAAATAAGAGCTAGTTAGCTTATTAATATTAAATATATTATAAAGAGGTAAAATAAGGTTATATAAGCTAGCTGCTTTTATACTTATAATACTCCTTTTCTTTATATAGCGCCCCTTTCTACCTTATAGTATTAAGGGTTAGTCCTTAAGGTCCGAGCCCGGGCTTAGCTTAAGCTACCCGCTAGGTTATATAGCGCTAACTACTATTACACGCGGCCCTTTTCGAAGAAAAAGGGTGCCCCTATCGGTCGTTCTAGGTAGCCTTACGCGCTATAGCCGCGCGGGAAATAATATGGCGCCGGGCCCTTATGCCGACGCTAGTGCGGTAAAAAAGGAGTTCGATAAAAAGGCTAGCGTCGATTAGACGGGGCTAACGAGAAGAGCCTAGTTACTAAAAGTAAAAACGGCTTACGCTAAGGGCGGGGCGGCAGTAAGGAAATAAGGAAGACTAATACTATCTTCATTACTATATATAGGCACGGACCGTATATATATAATACCTAAATCTATATATTCTATTATCTATCTGCGGTTAGACGTAGATATAGATAGGGGGCTACTAGCCTTATAGTCGGTGCCGGCCCCCCCCCTATTTAAGGGTAGAGTAGACGGGCTATAAATAGTATAGTATAAAATATAACTTATAGCATTTAGTATTTCTACTAATAGTATAGTTAATTTAGAAGGTAAGCGAGTCCTATTCTTTTTATTATGCTCTTTCCGTTCTTCGTTAACGTACGCTATATCTTATATATCTTATATATATTAGAGAATTATTATAGGTTTATATTGCATTTACGCATTTATATATATATTTACGTACCTTAGTATTAATATATATAAGTCCTGCCCTAGCCCTATAGCGCTATAATAAGCCTCGATATATTCATATATAATATTAATTACCGTATTATTATATATTACGCTTACGGGACGTACCTAGCCGTAAAGGCGACGGGATAGAGACAGTACTTATAGGCCGACCCGTATTATATATAGGGCGACGAGCTAAAGGCGACTATTAAACTACTATCGAGCTATAGCCTATAGCCCCTAAAGGAGCTCTATTAATAGCGGCCGGAGAGGACGCGGCCTTATTAAGCGATTAACGGACTATATATATACGTTAGGTATTACTATACGTATGCCGCCGATTACGACTTTTATACGATACGGCTCGCCGCTATATATAACTATATGCTTAAGTACGGGAAGA